TATATATATATATATATATATATATATTCCCCCTTCGGAAAACTGCGTAATCTATTTACGTTACAGATAGATAACTAGTACTTAAACTATGGATTATTTAAAACGTGTCTGATCATTATCCAGCTTGTTCTTCCTAAAAATCAATATTTCAAAGCGTTAATGCAAACTACTGAACAGAACAACATTAGGTAAATCAACGATAATTCAGTTGTTGTTGTTTTTTATCTATTTTCTTTCCAAATAAGTTTCGGCTATTTCCTATTTGCTAAACACACGTGAAATGAATATGTATTAACAGAAGATACAAGCTTGTAAAGACTAAAGATAAAAGATTTACACAACTTCCTAGAAAGCAATTAGAAACTCGGAGATTTGTTGGTTTTTAGCAAATTCCAATAAACGTATAGTATTAAAGCGCACGAGATTTTATCGTTGCTTGTATTAATAGTAAGATGTTTGGGTACATATAGGCCATTATGAGATAAAACAAAGAACTCTGCAATCTAAGATCAACTTGAACGAGAATGAGCATCACAGAAACTAATAACAATTCTGCTAATGGTTACTTATCGTGCTATGAAATGTTTTAAATGTGAAAAGAATTAAAAGTAAAGTGCATGATAGAAATAAAAAAATAATAGTTTACATGTTTGGTTTATTTTTCTTTGTTGTTAAGCACAATGGGCTTATCCGTGCTGTGCTAACCACGGATATCGAAACCCGGTTCTTAGCGTCGTATGCCTTCAGACTTACCGCTGTGCCGCTAGGTTATTGTTTTCTGGTAAAATCAATAAAAACATTAGTGAAAGAACTAATATTCAGCCTCAACAATTCAGCCTCAAGAAATATATGCTTTATCTTCATAAACCCTGAGTTGCACCCTATATAAAGAGAGCTATGCTTTACCTTTCCAGATGGTTAGGGAGTTCAATTCGCAATCTCCATCCCAACAAACATGCTTGCTCTTTCAGCGGTGGGTAAACGTAAAATATATATATTTATATAGGGCGCAACTCAGGGTTTATGAAGGTAAAGCATAGATCTCTTTATATAGGGCGCAACTCAGGGTTTATGAAGGTCCATACCGAGCAGTAGGAATGAGAGCACCAAAAAGTAAGGAAACAAGGTAGGAATGGACAGGGTTACATTATAACACTTGGTGGTTTTTGACAGGGTGCAACCTCAAAGTGGGTGTGGCCATTGTTCCGCCCAATTGTACATCGTGTGTTTTTTGTAACTTGGTAATTATTCGAACTAAACAAAAAGAGTGTATATCAAAATTTCTCTGTTATAAACTCTGTTTCAGCAACAAGTACAGATATATGTATGTAATCAAATTACGTGACCCTAAGGAAATGCCCGAGATTATAAGAGGGGTGTTTGATGTCGGAAGTGAGACAGGAAGTTCTAATAGTCATATTTTAGTTATGGGAGACATTATAGCTGTCTAACTGGTAAGGGGTGGGCCAATTAACACCGATGATTTTTGAAATTTGTTAAGTATTTTGAAATGATCAGCTACTGGTAAAACTCAATTCAAGTCTATAATTGGATCAAAATTCAAAGTAAAACACTTACTAGGAATGGGCAGAACGATGGCCACACCCTTTTTGAGGTTCTACCATGTCAAAAACCATCAAGCATTGTAATATTATCCCGTCCATTCCTACCTTGTTTCCTTACTTTTTTTTACTCTTGTTTTATATCCTTTTTTTGTACTAAGTCTACAGAGTGACTTGAGTGTAGGCTTATCCTTCTCATAGCTTTTCTTGGTGTTAAGTCTCCAGAGTGGCTGGGCACTAGGCCTATCCTTCTCGTAGTTTTTCTTAGAGCTATCTCTTGACATTTCCTGGCTTTTGTTCATATCTTTGCTATAGTTTTTCTGTCATCTAGCCAGTGCATCAGCCTTTTCTTTGGCTGAATTAATGGCTAAGGCTTGTTTCACATATTGAACATTACTGTTTCTAACCTTATCTATATTCTTGCAGTAATGATCTCCTCGCTGGGACAAAGACTTTTCAAGGTGATCAACATAAGAGTTTCTCCTTTTCTCTCGTTTTGTTTCCTTGAAAGGCATATTTTAAAAATCGCGCTGTTTCAAGTACACCCTTAGATGTCAATAGGTCGCACTTGGTTTGAAAACAATGCAAAGATAAATTATACAACTTATCATTCTTGGTCTCAGTCCAGAGTGCTCGAGCAAAGCTGTATTAGACATCGGCAGTGGTAGCATTCGTCCTCACGTAGGAGACTCACGTCTTAGGCACCGACTGCTATGATAGAATTTCTTTGTCTAACATACAACCCTCGAATAAGTTGTATATAACTGAAAACTTCACTTTCAAAGGTTAGATCATAGTTAGAACCTAGATCTAGGGAATATATGTAGTTCACGTTTTTTTTTATCTAGCTGACATAGCTACAGGCACGCGCATAAGCATTCGTGCACCCGCATGTAATATGAAAGCGGGTTGTTACTTGGCAACTCACAGAGCATGCTCATAATCAAAGAATATGGCTACTAGTG